GGGTTTCAAATGGACGGCTTGACTACACAGCCCACTTGGTTTCCAAATTTTCAATGGTCCATTTCATATTGTTCTTTTTACCGAAAACAAGAAGGCACTCGTACATGGACAGCGTGGGTGCCCAGATACAGTTCGCAACCTACCTAATCTGAGCCCCCTTTTCGTCATCCTCCTGCTTCTGCACTGGCAGCCCCCCCCTCCATGATTTTTTTTTTTTTTTTTTTTTTTTTTCCCTTTTGGAACGGGCCCAATGCCCAAGGCTGATATTACCAATAAGAAGATTGAGGCCGGGGCCCTCACAGTCTACCCGGAGTGACCGAACAGAACATTCTGAGAACCGGGCTCGTCCCTCATATGATGATGATGATAATAATGATGATGATGATAATAATGATGATGATGATAATAATGATGATGATGATGATGATGACAGATGGAGGTAACAAAAGTTGGCAAACATCCAATCTTTTCCTTTAGGGAAAAAAAAAAAAAGTTCCATGTCGTAGTAGAGGGTGGATGCTAGGCTTCGGGACTCGGAGGTGCCTGTCATCGTACTCAACCAGTGAGGGGATCAGATTGGCTTTTGTGCCAACCCCGGGGACAGCCCTTCTCCAGGGGGCATCATTCATGACCTGTTATATCCTAATCTTATCGCAAGTCGAGCCCTATAGCGGTGCAACCCAGACCTCTCACTCTAGACCTCGACCTACACCAGCCCGCGCCTTGCGATGAGCGCAGACTTGTCCCCCCCAGCACTACCATACGGACACCCCGAATCCTCGAGGACGACCTGGATACAGGCTACGTGAACCTGTATCGCATCATGCAGCCTCTACGGTAGTGACACCACCGTTCAACATTGCATGCGACAAGCTTTCCTCCCCTGCCTAAGTTGACGCCCTTACCTTGAAACCCTTCCGCCGACTCATGCCCCAACCGAACCCTCAGTGGGAACTCAGACAGGTACCAACCCGGACAGAGCCCAGCCCACAAGCATCGTGAGATCAACGTGAAGCCCACGGGTGGGAATCGTATATGCCTAACACCGAACCACTACCACTACTCAAGCGTGTGTGCGGAGAGCGGGGTCTATCCGGGACACAGGATCGTAAAATGTAGGTATGGACCCCCGTGGGCCCGGGAAACAACTGTGGTACCCAGTGGGTGGACCATGAGCCCAGGAAACAACTGTGGTACCCAAACGCACTCAGTCTCGTCCACAGAGCAACCCATATGAACAAGGTGGCGCACACAGACTGGCCCACAGACCCTACACAAAGTCTTTCTACCCATCCCCCTCCCACCTATCTATCTACCCAATCCAAACACTATCTACCACGTCTACACCCAATGGTGAGTACACAAGGTATGACCTAGAGATCATCGGACATACTCAACACCCAACCCACACACAAACTCTCGACACTCCTCAGACCCCCAAGGGTCAAGCCACTCAAACAGCCTTCCCCCCAAAGCCAACTACCAGCATACTGCAACCATGGACCTGGCCCCTTGGGTCGTGCACAGGCAGTGTCTGTACGAGTACCATGCGTCAGCCCAAGGGGGGTGTACGAACGGCTGGGCGCTATGACATCCCTTTCTGGCGTACGCGCATGAGGCAGCAGAGTTTTGAACCCGCAACCTCATCATACCACAATGCGCATTTCCAACCGGTGCTGTAACGACTGAGTCACCAGGCCATTCGCCAATCTTTTCCTTTGTCTTTTTTTTTTTTTTTTTTTTTTTTTTTTTTTTTCTTTTTTAAAAAACTTTTCTCTTTTTTTTTTCTTTTTTTTTTTTTTTTTTTAAATTGTTTTTCCCATTTTTTTCCTTTTTTTTTTTTTTTTTTTTTTTTTTTTTTTTTTTTTTTTTTTTTTTTTTTTTTTTTAATCTTTTCCTTTGTCAATAACATCTCTCCTCTTTATTTCATCTCTTCTTTTCTTTTTTGAACTGGTTTGCACAGTTTCTTCACCTTCTATGATGATTCTGACTGAGCATTCATTCAATTCAACCTCAGAATATTCTTTTTATTGGGTGTATCCCGACCGGACGGCTGCAGCAAAACCTGAGCCGCGACTTCCACCCAGCCTGACGCACAACTCACCCCAGCGAACCACCAGCGTTGAGTGGGCCCTGGCCATCATCCTCAGCCCACCGGAAGTGACAACAGCCTTTCTTTTTTTTGTTTTCAGCTGTGTTAGCGGACCGGACGTCCCGGAGCACCGCGACCGTCTGGGACTGTACGATTGGACAACCGATCCGCCATCTGCCCGGGGGCCCACGTCCGATTGGTAAAAAAAATGAGTGGGGGGCAGCACAGGGGTGGGGGCTGCAGGCAGAGGCTAAGTGGGGGGGGGGAAAGGGGGCGGGCGGGAGAAATTAATGGAGACCGGTAGAGCCTCCGAAAAGAAAAAAAGAAAACGGCCCAACCTGGGCCGCTGGATCTGTGAGATCGACGGCCCAGACTGGGCCGTTCTCAGATTCAAAAGTGGGGGCCATGGCACCGTCCCACGCGCGCATCTTGGCCAATGCGCTGTCGGCGGAGTTCGGTGACACCATCCAGTGCAAATTCTTTTAAACCCAGCCATTTCCATCACCCGTTGCATCTGACACAGAGGCCTTTCAGGCCTTTTCTTCTACTTTTATTAATAATGGGCGGCCATCCTCCTTTTCCTTCCTTTTTCTTCTTTTTCTTTTAAGCAAAATGCTGGGCGTTCCTTCCTTTGATTACTTTTCTTTTAAGCAAAATGCTGGGCGAGCTTCCTCGATAGCAGAGACGAGCCATCCTCTCTCTCTCTCTCTCTCTCTCTCTCTCTCTCTCTCTCTCTCTCTCTCTCTCTCTCTCTCTCTCTCTCTCACACACACACACACACACACACACACACACGCACACACACACACACACAGACTCGATATTGACGGAGTTGAACAAGTTTTGGCTTAGCGTCACATCACACAGAATTCATTTGTTCGCAAACTGCACATAATTCCAAATTTAAGGGAGGGAAAAAAAACGCAAAGGTAAATCACTTACCTGCATCCCAACACTCTGTCGATCCGGGACAGCAAAGTGATTTCCGAAAGGCAGAGTCTCAGAGAGAGTTAAATGCCGGACAGGGCATGACGAGCGAGTAAGAAAGAAAACGTCACTTGAGTTAATCAACCGATGAGAATCCTCAGCGCCACTCTCAACATGAGAATCACGTGCAGGGCCCAACAGGGCCTGGCTAAGTTAGCAACCCATAACCGCTTGAACATAGACCTGAATTCGAATTCACACACTGTATTCATGGCCCGTTAATGCTTGTGCAAACAAGGTGCCCACCCCTGCTTGGCAATAGGACCTTCGCTTACTTAGTGGAGGGACCCCTCAGATTCCTTGCCTCGAAATGCACCAGTGCACCGCAAGTATGGAAAAAGTCTTTTTTTTTCGTCAAGCACTTTCTCCGCTGCAGATGGCCGTCTAGCTGGTGCCTGCTGAAACACGGCGGAACCAGCAAGCAATATTTGATTTTTTTTCCTCCTTTTTAGCATCACCACTCTCCACATATCTTTTTTCGGTGATGGCGTTGACTGTGCCCGGTGTACTTTATGAGTTTATCTTTTCGGTCGTGATGACCTTGACTTAAACCACCAGTACTTGGCCCAGCTATCGGCCGCAGAAAAAAAAAATAGAGTCGAAACGTTTCTAGTTGGATGAATTTGGGCGCTCCTGTAGTGGCCCGTACGTTTCCTAAAATCGTGTAGTATTAACGGGCACGACTTTAGGAAGTACGGGTGGTTTAACTCACAGTGTTAGGATTGCTGCCTCGTGCTTTTCGCTGTTGTGCGTTCGAATGCACGGACTGAATACGCAGAGCATTATACGCTCTCTTTGTTGCGATTATAACAGGTAACCCTTCGTCTTTTCTTCTCTTTTTTTATTCAAGAAATTTGGACCATTTCTCGATTTATGTGCGTCATCCGTGCGCAGGGGTCATGCTAATCTTCTCTGCTGCGTAGCATCGTGTTCGCGGTCGATGACCGAACCCGAACATTCACGACCGAACGCGAATGAGGCACGAAACCCTCCGAACGCAAACATTTATTAAAAAAAAAAGTCCTTCAGGACATTTGTTAAAATTGGAACGATACAGAGAAGATTAACATGGCCCCTGCGTAAGGATGACACGCATAAATCGAGAAATGGTCCAAATTATTATTAAAAAAAACAAAATCAGAAAAATCTGGAAAAAAAAGGTTATGTAAAATAATAATACAAAGAACTTTTGCCTGGGAGGTATGTTCAAATTCGTGACCAAACTCGAATTAAAAAAAAAAAAAAAAAAAAAAAAAA